GATATTTGATTTGATTTCTATGTGTTAGGTTCATACTGTTATAGCAAATGTCCAAGTCCGGACATCTGTATTCCTAGCTGTGCAGTTGCATTAGTAGTCTAAGAATGGTATTGAATTTAGCCTAAATAGGTGAAGACAGCAACACTGAAAATGGACTTTTTGTAAAGCAACTTTCAATGCTTATGTCTTTTTTCCTAGCCACAGAGGGGAAAGCAGTCCCTTCCCTTCCAGATTTTGGGAATAGCTATCACGTCAAAGGTAAACGGCACAATATCAGCTTACATGTTATGTCCCCCTTTTCCTTCATCAGAGCTGAGTCTCATTATAAGACTGTTTGACATTTCCATTGCAGGAGTGATCTCTCTGCCTTATGCTGAGATCCAGGAGCCATTTGAAGCCTGGTTAGACCTAGCAGCAAACTCCTCCCGAATAGACTACTACCATGGTACGTAATCTCTTGACCTCTGGCTGTTTCTTTAAAGCTGAATCTGTGTTTTTCTGCTTGGTTTGATTACTGTTGTGAAACTGGCAGCCTGTTGTGTCCAAAGACCAGAGCAGAAAATTAGCATTAAGTAAATAAAGAAGTGAAAGAAGGAATTTTGGAGAACTTACCATGTTTACTCATGTTATGTACTCATGTGATTCAGAATCCTGTTTATCTAGTTTTGTCTGTCTTCTTTTAAACTGTTTTCTATAGAGATGCACTGATCGATTGGTGGAGATTGGTTTTCAGTGATTGACAGTTGACCAGCCTATCAATCAGATTTCTGATTCTGTGCCAAAGGTGTAGCTGGGGGGTGGATTTTATAGTCTATCGTATTGTACAGAGCTTTTAAGAAAGCAGAACAACAATGGACCAGACTGAATATGTTATTAACATGAAAGTTAGTTGTCAGAAGTTAGTTAGCTGTCATGGCTTTGTAGCAAATGTGCCATGTCTTGGTAGAGGGAATGGAAACCTTTGGCTTAGAGGAGCCTGGAATGTCTAACTTAAATATCTCTTTTTCTGATCACCAAAAGGCCAAGTGTCAACATACCAGTTGGGGGCAGAGCAGCAGTACGGTGTTGCCTATAAAATCACTCCTGAGACCACCGAGGAGGAACTGAATGTGATGAAATGCTTCCAGGTCAATGGAACAAAGAATGAAACAGTCACACCACAGGCATCACTGCCCAATGTGCAGGGCTTCCAGGTGTGTGTATAAAAAAGGCTTAGTGTGGTGTATGAGCACCACAACCTATAGTTATTAGATTAGCTTGTTTCATATTAGTCATGTTACCATAAACCAACTTGAATACTATCAGTCGTTGGTGACCTGGAGCAGGCACCAGGTCAGATCTGCTCCGGGAAAAAGCATCTTCATTAAAATGAAAGTAAACAGATTCCAAGTGTAAGGATTTGCTGCTCCTCCAGCTGCTGCATCTGTGGTCTTGCATTTCAACAGTCAAACTGATTAACGTGCCACAACTTGCAGGCTTTCTGATTCTTGTAAAGGAGCTGTACCATCTTCAGAGACACTGTCACAGCACAGTCTTCTTGACTGAGATTTAATTTCTTTGTGCTGTTCGCTCTTTTTCATAGTCTCACAATCTTGCACTAATTCATAATCACTGCGACACTGAGGAAAACCCAGGGTGCATAAAAACAAAAAACTATTAGTATGTTCTTATTTACAAAAGGAAGCAAAGGGTTGTATGGAAACCTCATCTGCACCATAGACTAATTATATGATGACATCACAATTAATGTAATCAAAATGTTTTTGTGCTGTTCAAGAAGTTAATTAATCCCCCACCCCCAGTTCCTGAGGCTGGAATACTACAGCGGCTCCCTGTGTGAAGTCTGGCAGAATGTGACCACAGTGGGTTACAAGAAAAACACATACACACTGTGGGTGATCCATCGAAACAAAGGTGCAGATGGCAAAGAAGATCCTGTCATTCCTCTCCATTATGAGATGATGGGATACAACACCCTGCTGGGGTCCCACTATGACAAATACCTGGTGGACTACAAGGAGTTCAGCACTCATGTGGACCCCAAAGTCTTCTCACTGCCTGAAGGTTTGTACCAAGATGTTTTAAAATAATTAGTAGCATTAATTAATAGTTAGCCGTCCCTGGTAGGCTAGTGGTTAAGGCACAGCGCTCTCGCCGCTGCGGCCCGGGTTTGAGTCAGGAAGGGCATCCGTCGTAAAACACGTGCCGAATGTCGAACATGCAAGTCGTCAGTGTGACAATTCGCTGTGGCGACCCTAAATGGGAAAAGCCGAAAGTGACTTTCTAATGGCATTAATTAATAAAACTTTTTTTTGTTTTGTTTTTCACCTCTAGGGATGACTTGTGGGGGATTTCCTGGTCCAGGAGTGGAGCATCACATGTTGGCCAATCCGATGAAAGATCTCATCCACCCATCAGCTTCAGGTCACTCTCAGCGCATGTTCAACCACTTCAAGGAGAAGTTCCAGCGTCAGTATGGTGATGAAAGAGAACACGAAAAGAGGGAGCACATTTTTTTTCATAATCTCCGGTAAGTGCATTTAAAGATCAAGAGTTGTGACACTGCAGCATTATCAGTATCTTTTATTAAAGGACACAGGACAAGTTAAAGGATGCATTAATAGCAATGTAACACAGATATAGGTTGTAGGATATACTGTAATCTGACCTGTTGTGTGCTTTTTATGTTCCTGTAGGTACATTCACTCCAAGAACAGAGCTGGGCTGTCCTTCTCCCTGTCTCTGAACTCTCTGTCAGATCGCACCATGTCAGAGTTGGCTACTATGAGGGGAAGGAAACAAGGAAAGACTCCAAACAGAGGGCTCCCCTTCCCCTCAAAGCTTTACAAAGGGGTGAAAGTACCTGATTCATTTGACTGGAGGCTTTACGGTACATATATCCAGCTTAACATGTTTACCAAAGATACAGTATACTTGTCTGTGGTAAGACATGAGTTTTTGCCTACTCTCTGCTTGTTCAGGTGCTGTGACCCCAGTGAAGGACCAGGCCATCTGTGGTTCATGCTGGAGCTTTGCCACCACTGGAGCAGTAGAAGGTGCTCTCTTCCTAAAGGTGAAGAGATTAAGGGTGGTTTTACATTAGGGACCCAGGCCTGCATCTGAGTACAGTTGACCTCAAGGTCTGGTTATTTTTGATCAGTGTGAATACTAACGTACCAGACCTTTTCAGTGGGTGAGTACTCTAATTGTTGCAAGTATAGTTCACTTCAGCTAGGCCCCAGGGGTTTGTCCTTGTGCTTTTACTAGCACTCAGCACAGCAGCAGGAAGTGACCTGCAAGGTGCAGTATCCCCTTCCACATGAGCAGCTTCATAAACAGAGCCACTTCCCAGGGGCCAATTTCAAATTTAACTCTGTGATCTAGCAGCCTGTAGATTACAGTTGGTGGAAAAAAATGTTCATTATGAACTTATAAACACTCTGTTACCATCCAAACCTTGTGTGCATCTACCTCTCTCAGTTTATTTGATGTTGTGAAAGGCTCTTGTGGTGCTATAAGATGGGGAAACAGTTGAGATTGTATTTCAGAAAGTTTGACTCATGTGGAGCAGGACATTAATAATTGGCATATTGAGCGTGATCATGTTTTTGCTCTCATTTTTCAGACAGGTTCCCTGCAGGTTCTGTCTCAGCAGATGCTGGTGGACTGTTCCTGGGGTTTCGGCAATAATGGATGTGATGGAGGGGAGGAATGGAGAGCATACGAGTGGATCATGAAACATGGAGGCATCGCCACAACGGAAACATACGGAGCTTACATGGGAATGGTGAGATGCCTATACCAGTTTAAATAAAATAACCTGTAAAGTCAAAATTGATTCAGGCTGCTTTGAAACCAGTTGGGAAGTATTTCATTAAATTAAATGTGCTTAAACAAATTTCTTTTCCGCCACTAGAGGGTCATAGATGCAAAACATCTCATTTCCTAGCAGTGGCATAAATTACAGATGCCTGGTTGGGACAAACTGTACATAATGCAGCCACCAGTCCGAAGCTACTGTTATTCGAGTAACAAAAACTTCTCTTAACAATTTAAGTGAGACAGCAAACCTCAGACTACTAGAGTTACAAGTTCCTATGAAATGTGGTTCTAGCTGTCTGCATTTAATTATGCCTAGGGAAAAGACCTCTTACAATGAACAATGTGGCTCTGTGAATGTAATACTGTGACATTAATGGCATCTTCACCTGCAGGTTCACACTCAGCCTAACATGCAGGCACAAATCTTTTACAACAAGCAAACAACTTGGTATATTTTACCAAATGATCAGTTATTTCAGAAGCTTAGTCACCTACAGTAAACTCTATATAAATGCTTTTCCTCAGTAAGTAGGTATAAGCTGCACTTGTTTAAAATGTATTTGTATAGCCCTGTTGTACAGCTCTTTTAATCATGATCACTAACACCTCTTTCAATAAGCCGGAACATGTATGAGGTGGACCTACAGTATGATTTCTGGTTGTCCATGTACTGCATAAGAAAAACAGTGTTTCAGTGTGTGATACTCTTTTCTGGTCACTTTGTTTGGCCTGTTCAAGGACCTGTTTTTTTTTTTTGTTTGTTTGTTTGTTTGTTTCCTTCACTGATCAGACACACACCTGGATCCTTAACTCATCCCAGCTGATTGCACAGATCCAGAGCTACACCAATGTCACATCAGGAAATGCAGAGGCCCTTAAGCTGGCTCTTTATAAAAATGGACCTGTAGCAGTCAGTATTGATGCTTCACATAGATCGTTTGTTTTCTATAGCCATGGCATCTACTATGAACCTGCCTGTGGTAAGTTTAACTCTCACTGGTGCACATACTTTTTAACAACCACCATCTTTCTCTCTGAAACTTAACTCTTTTTATGTTTTTCAGGTAATACCATTAATGATTTGGACCATGCTGTGCTTGCAGTAGGTTATGGTACCCTGAATGGGGAGCCATACTGGTTGATAAAAAACTCCTGGTCAACCTACTGGGGCAATGACGGCTACATCCTTATGTCTATGAAGGACAACAACTGTGGTGTCACCACTGATGCCACATATGTTGCACTAGCATAGATGTGCCCTGGATTGGCTTGTTTGTCAGTGCCATTGTTGTTCAAAAATGATTTAATGTTTAATTCCTGTTGGTGCCTGCGGATGAATGACACCTCATGTTGGTTATCACATTCAGCATTGGTGATGATAATGGCACATCTCTATTGAGTGAATTGTAATGCTGTCCAACTGGCACACAGATCAAGTCTGCTTTTTCAAATACGGTTTTAATATTTGTAGTTGTTTTAAAGTTTATTGCTGGTGGCACATAAGCACAGTGTTTTCATTTAACTGTAAAAGAATTGACTTTTGTTTGGTACTTTAAATTTTCATGCGTTCAAATGCACTGGCATGGAATCAATGCAATAAAAATTTGGAAGGCTTTTCTTTTGCTGGCTTCTGTGACATCTGTGGTTGGTCTAACATATCCACATGCACTGGAATACCAGGTTATTGCCTCATACACATTTTATGCATTCAGAGTCTACTGAACAAATGTCTTTATGAAACAAATTTCTTGTGCCTAAGTAACATTGCATATTACATAGCTTTAGTTTATTAAATGTATAATTGTGTATGTAGACATCAGCCCTAAAACACTGGTAACGCAAAATGCACTAGATATTTCACAGATCCAAATCGGTCATTTTACATTTGACAATGTCAATATTTTAATCAAACATAATGTGAAACTCAAATATCCTTTCACATGCTGATCATAGTCACAACCCACATTTTTCATACAAATGTAGTCTAACAAAAAGCTACATTATTAGTATTAAATTTAACTATCACATGCTTACTCACTTGATTAGTTTAACTTTTCTCAACTTGGAAACATGAACTAGAAAGAGGCAGTTGCTTTTTCAGTACAGTATTAGAATATGATCCAGTCCACAGACATGGTACACGTTCATACAAAAATAAAAGTGCTTCATAAGATTCATAGAATGAAACAAATCCATCGCTTAAAACTATGAAGGCCTAAAAACAGCTGCTCAACAGGACCATGTGTAGTGCATCAGAGAGGAAGTGGCAGCCTGCTGAAGTCTTGATTCTTCAAATGAATACAGGTTTAAAAATGTGATGCCTTTATATGTATAAATATATACAAACATGTTATGTGTGTACACAAGGAGAGATTTATCTCTCTCTTCATATATATCAAAACTGGGGGAAAAAGTTGAAACATCTGAAGAAAGCACAAGATTTAGCATTTCAAATCCTGAATTATCTGTTTATCTGTAGGCTTTTGATTTGGCCACAGAACTGAAAGCCTGCTTTGTGTGTGTGTGCACACACCTGGATCCTAGTTTGGCAGATAAACTATGTTTGGTTTGCATGCACAGAGCTTATAATCACATCCTGATATGTTGCTACAGACAGTATCCAATGTACTGTGTCTGAGAACAAAATTGAGGTTTGATAATACATGAATACATGAATATATATTCTGGCTTGCCAGATGTAGCTCTCGCTGCTCATTGCTTCTGGCTGATTTACCAGATGTAGAAAGTCGGGGGATAACCACATGTCTGGAGGATTTATTGTCTGGGAACGGTGAGTGACTGAATTCCATGGCAATTCATACAATAGCCGTAGCCAGTCTGGAGTCACATATGGACTGTCCAACAGATCTACATTGTCATCCTTAGAGCCTCACCCCTAGTATGGCCAAAACCTTCTCCATCTCTAAAATGTCAATTTTTCAGATATAACAGCCTGCAGGCATTGTGACAAAATGTATTTTTTAAAATTCTCCATCAGCAAAAGTTTGCATAGAGTGTTGCCTTGGTGTAGAAAATGTAAAAATATACCTCTGGTGCTTTTCAGTTTGAGGATTACTCTAGGAAAAAAAAGCCTTTAATATCTCATGGCTGTTCAGAGAAGGCGAAAAAAACAGGCCTATGCATTTCAGCCATTAAGGCCTTCATCATGATAAGAGAAAGAGAACATGGTTGCCTTTGGTATGTGTACTCTAAAAAGCACTGATTAACATGACTAGTGTGGGCAGGTAAAAAGTCACATGATTGATTCTCTTTATCATGTTACTTGTCTATATCAGTCATATGACCTTTCACCCCACAGTTATCATGTGACTACATACTATGCACTATTTAGTATACAACACTATTTACTACATATTATTTAGAAGACACATCTTCTCTTGCCACAAACCTCGTGGCCTATGCCTTTCCTGTTGTGGGTGCTCGTGATGTCACTGATGCTCAGTCCATAACGGGCTGGGTCCTGGTTTGGAGGTCTGGATGGCAGCAGGGGTTTGAAGGCTGTTAAGTGAAATGTCCTCCGCCAGCGGTTCCAGTTAATCAACAATGTTGCCTTAGAAGTAAAAGCACAAATGTTTTCATTTTGAAATTGACAAAGTGAAATAATAGCCTATAACAATAACATGGCAAAACATTAACGGATCAGTAGATCGTTAAATATTACTAAATGTTACTCTTTTGTTTCAATATAGTCTACTGGTAAAATAAGGATTTTATTTTGAAGGCGGTAGATCGAGGTCCTGTTATTGTTATTCTCCTCCTTTGTGGCTTGACAGTGGTGAGGGAGGCGTCACAGAGTGAGAGAGACAGAAGGAGATGGCTGAAGGGAAGGTGGACTGGATCGGGTCAGGAGCGACTTCGGAAACCAACCTAAAGCGGCCTTGATCATCCCGAGCAGAAAGTCCCGACAGCTGAGTGTCACCGCGCTCCGCCCGGCCAGGACAGGACAGCCTGTGGCCGACAGACAGACAGACACGGTTTCTAACCAGCTCATCCGAGGGACACCCAGTAATATCTGCCGATTTCCTCGCTGTTGGATTATTCAGCTACACCAGATTCCCTGTTTTTGACTTTTGGCAGAGAGCCCACTGTCTGGATCAGTCACCTCTGCCTGTGAGTAGCTCCCTGTGCCGCCTTCTCTGCTCTCACAAACAAATGATTGTAATGGCGATGTCGTGCATCATAAGGTCAGCTGATCATGATCTGGTACCTACTGTGTTACTGTAAGGACACGATTAATGAAAACCCAGATCCCTATCCGACTTGCTGATGTAGATGAAGCCACACCTAAGGCAGCATTCAAATATCATTGTTTATGAATCCTGACCGGTTTATTGGGGACACTGCCTGCAGCAGCATTCACTGTCGGTCATCCAGTGAACTGTCAGGCCAAGTGCCTTCAAAGACATATCATTTTGCTCTAGTGTCTTTCAGAGAGTGTAAGAAGAGTACAGCATTCCCTCTGCCGCAAAGACAGCCCAAGGTTGTAGTGCTGCTGTACAGGGAACAGAGCATGTGCAAACAAGTCAGTTACCTCTATCTGTTGGTGTGTTCATGCATGCACTTGTCAGTTATAGAAAAACCTCTCTGTCATCCATCACCAGATGTTTTTTTTCTCATGCAAGTGCAGGGACAAACACCTGCACCATGCATCTGGCTTCAAAGGACATAAACACTCATGCATATGCACACCCACCTTTGTTCTGTCTCTATTTATATCCTGTTCCCCTAGCAGCATCTCTAGCTGTCTGATCTGATGCACAAGCGTACTTCATAATCTGGATCTGTTGTGTGTTTACTGACTGTAGCCTGCTGCGCACTTGCAGTGACACACTGACTCCTGGAGAATTGAAACAGGTCGCTGCAAGGCCGCTATGCACAAGCACTGGTGCATTCACCTCAGACAGGGGACCCAGGATCAGACTGGAGTCTTACTGTGCTCCTCCAGTGGTCTCTGACTGTGAGGAAGGCCTTCTTGTGTGACAGGGATCTCTGGAGTGGTTAAAAAGTTTGTCTTTTTAGTTTAGTTTGCTGGCAAACATCTTACCTTCTGAAATTTCCTCGGTACTTAGGCCCTCTCAGCCCCAGTGCTGCTGCTCTGTATTTTTACCTGTCTGATTTCCCATGATGGGTGAACAAGAAAAACAAACTTCCCGTACCTGGAGGCATTAAGTTACACAGGCTCATTATATCAGGCTCTTGTGAGTAGCTGCTCTTAACCTCCATCATTCTGGTCCATTTCCCGATAGATGAAAAGTATTTTCTGCAGCGGACTGATTTATTCAGTTGGCTGGCAGACTGCCTGCTGCAGAGTCAGCAGCAGCACTTGAAGTTAAAGACTCTGTAAGGAAAGAGAGTGACACATTGATTAGTGTGGACTTTGGGTTACAGCAATACAAATTATGTGCAGCTCTGGAAAGGTCCCTGCTTCCTCCTTTCCTCCTCTTCCATCCTTCTCTCTTCTCTCCTCTACAGGCAACTGTCTGCTGTCTTCTCTCACTGGACCTGCTAACCCAGTGGAGCTCCAGCCCCAGAGGCCCATGGCTGCTGTTTCTCTCCCCCAGTGAGAGGTGAGCCAAGCTGGCCTCCCCATCCCCAGACCTGGACCCAGACCCGGATCCAGAGCCCAAGCCCGAGCAGCGGCAGCACACCATTGAAGAGCAGTATGTGAGTGAGGGCGAATCCAGTCAGCTTGCCACGCACCTGGCGCCACCAGACCGCAGGGATGCCGAGACCATCACAGGTATGCATGCGTGTGTGGGTCAACTTTTTAGGAATTCCCATTAAAAAAAAAGCTTTGATTTCAGTTTGTATTGAAGGGCCTTTTAAATGAATCCCAAAATATGGTAGAAATTTGTTAACTGCATAAAAGGACTACATCTTCAACTGAACTCAAAACAAAAAAAATTAAAATGCAGCTCCACTGTTTGCAATATATTACTTAATTTCTAGCATTGGGTGCAAAATGCTTACGGTGTTGCAATTCATTCTGGCAGGTAGCATATACAGAACTTTCTTGGCTTGAATTTGGTAGAAATGTATTTTTTGTTATTTCTAATATACTGCTACAATCAATAGCATCATCCTTTGGAGCTGATTATCAAATTTTGGTAAATGGAAATGGCTTTAATATAGTACTACACTGGTTATTAAACATCAGTTTGTTACAGTTTGATATTGGGATCAGATTTCACACACAATTACTCAACCACTCAGAACCTACATGTGCAAAGACAATTTCATCAGAGATTGCCTGTGATTTATGTAGTTGAGTCACTGTTTTTATTGCCCTTCAAAAACACAACTGAGAATAAGCTGAAGCTGTGAGTATTAATGAAACATCAGGTTCCATGTTACTCAAACACACTGACAGCATCAGTTCCCTCCACACTAAGCCTGCTGTCTACCACCAGCATGGAGAAGAGTCACCTTCCTGTCCCTCTCTGTCCTCTTCAGATGTGTGCAACAGTACTGACCTGCCAGAGTTTGAGATCATCAGTCTTCTGGAGGAGCAGTTGCCAGTGTACCGGCTGCGGGCTGACACCGTCTACGGCTACGACCACGATGACTGGCTGCACACTCCCCTGGTCACACCGGACACCAGGCTTGACCTGACAACTGAGCAGATTGAGGAGACGCTCAAATACTTCTGTAAATCTGGCTAGTGCAGCGTTTACCACAATATTATCAAGAGTGCCAGTATGTGATTTCAGAAGTATGGGGTTGATCCACCTACATCTGACTCTTATTCTATTTAATGATTCAAATGGTTCTCAAAAAAAAAAAAAAAAAATAGAATTATCAATTGTAAGAACACCAAGGTTCCTCTCGCTTATCAACACCACATTTGTCTTTAAAGGCCCCATGTGAGTCGTACTAAAAAGTCAGAGCCTTGTGGAATATTCAGTCTGAAAGCCTGGAATGAACCATGCCGTAGTTTTCCTAATCCAACAGTGAAGTAGTAGTAATTCTGTTAATTGGCTCAGAATCATTGTTGTTCTGCTCTTGCTATATCACCACTCTGCTAATATACTGCCTCAGATGCCCTCTTCACAGACAGGGGGGCTTGGGGAGCAGCCCTGTCTGCTTGTATAAACAGCTGTGAGAGGCTGCATTAAATATTGATTCTTCCTGTCGATTTATTAGATACTTCTTGGAATGCTTTGATGGGCATTGTGTGGAAAACACAAAGTCCATTAACTCATTAACATAGGCTGTCTTTTAGTTTGTTTTATGTGCCTCATGCAGTGCGTGTCTGTCTGGTATAGATAAATACGAGTCAATACATTTTCCTAATGTATCAGTGGGTTCATTCTCTAGTCCAGTGAGATTCGACTATTATCTACAATCTGGTTTGTCCTGGGGTAGCACGGTGGCGCAGTGGTTAACGCTGTTGCCTCACAGCGAGAAGGTTCTGGGTTCATGACCTTTCTGTGTGGAGTTTGCATGTTTTCCCCGTGCTTGCATGGGTTTACTCTGGGTGCTCTGGCTTCCTCTTGCAGTCCAAAGACATGCAGCTTGGATTAATTGGTGTCTCTAAATTGCCTGTAGGTGTGTGTGGCTGTTTGTCTGCGTGTCAGCCCTGTGATAGACTGGCGTCCTGTCCAGTGTGTACCCTGCCTCTCGCCCAATGTCAGCTGGGATCGCGGCCCCGTTTGGGACTAAGCGGTATAGATAATGGATGGTTTGTCCTGTCACAGCTCTGACATTCCTGAGAGAGTATAGTCAGTAATGTAGCCTCCCTCCACAAGGTGGCGCCCAGCTGCTTATAGTCTGGGGATTACTGTATCTGTTTTCTCAAAGTGTAGCTCTAAGCTGCCAGTTTCTGATCTTGCTTCTTGTTCAGTGACTGCTCTGTCACATTAGGTAAGTTCTGATAGTTAAGGAGATTTTCTAGGAGTTTCTTATGAGTTAATTTATACTGTGATTATGCTGCCTGTGTGACTACAGTAAATTTCAAAGTTTTAATTAACTACTACATTGTTCTGCATTTCTTAGCATTTTGCATGTATCCTACGTTTCCTTTTCCTTGTTCATTTCTGTGATCATTGTGTTGTTCTTTAAGTAGACTTGGCAAATGAATCTTTTCATTCTTTGACAAGCAGAGTGGATGTTATAATTCAGTACTAAAAATGAGATGCTGATACTTTTCCTATTCATTTTTAAGTATGTAATAAATTACAAATATTCATGCTTCCATATAAAATGTATTTTTGTCAGCAAGTAAAGGAATAAATCATTTTATAGATTGAGCACTGTAGTGTATTGTGAGGACCAAGGAAGGAAGAAGTTGAATTTTTAGTTCCTAGTTTATTGTTTTTGTTACTGAGCCACAAAAATTATGCACAGCCTGGTGTGTGTGTGTGTGTCTTACTTCTGTTTGCAGCATGGTCAGTGGGTAATAATGACGGTTTCCGTATGCGCCAGGGGCTTGTTTGTGAATAACCATTGCCATGGCAACAGCTGCTGGAGGCAGATAGATGTTCAGCAGCCTTGCACAGAGCAGAGGGGAAAAGAGGAGTGTGGGGGAATGAAAGAAAAGTGAAAAGGAGAGAGGTTCTAGAAGAAGCCACCCTGCGGCCTGCCCTCTCTGACTGGCTCTGTCTTTCATCCTCACCTGTTCGCTCCTAGAACAACCTCTGCTTCTGTTTCACCTCAGCATCTGTTTCCACAACAGATGTGCACTCTTTAATCTGTCTGCCTCCTCTATACTTCTTTCAGTGGTGTCCATGTGGGCGGTGGGTAATTTAGGCTCTGGCCCTGTTATACTGTACAGCAGCTAAGCAGGAGGAGCAAGAGAGAGAGAGAAATAGAAAGTGAGTAGATCAGTGTTTGAATCAGTTGTTGCTTTTGCTTGTTGGTCACCGGGAAGCCCAGGGAGGAGATGAACAGCAAGAGCAGGACAGAAAGATTAGCAGTGGATGAAGGTAAACTGGATGAGTGGAACTGGAAAGAGGACAAGAAAGGTAAAGGTAAAGTCTTGTCTAGAGAACAGAAAAGAAATGTTTAACATGATTAAATGTGTGGACAGTTTGACTGTGGCATTCATTTCTTCCCAGCACTTTGTTTTGTAGTAGACTGAAGTTTAAGTTGACAGATGCAGCCACTTGAAATCCTGCTATTACACTGTTTTGATCACAAAGTGATATTTTCATTGTTGCAGGAGCTTGAAATCAGCCTTTCCAAACTGTTTTGTGTGTTTCCTAGTTGATGGTTTTACAATGGAGCGTGTCCCTCCCTTCATTCTCATTAAGAGGAATTTCATGAAACTTGCTGACTTTGAATTTGCTCTTTTGTGTCTTCTCAGCCCTTGAGCATACTTGCACATGCACACTTAATTGTTGTGCCTACAAGAGCCAGAGTGGATCTTAGTTTGAACACAGTTGCCTATCTTTATTTTCAAAAAGGGGAATTTAAAGGCTCTTTATGGAAATAACCTTTAAATTATACTAATTGGATAATGTATGTAGTAACTCTGTACTGCATGTTATTGATTAGAGCTCTGAAGTCAATAAGAGCTGTCACCCCAGGGCAACACAGTCAGCCGCTGTGCCATGGAAACAACCCTTTCTGCTTGCTCTCTCTCTCTCTGTTCTGTTCTTCCATAACATTATGTCAGTGGTGATGGAAGTTTTACATCCTAAACTTTGTGTTACATAATGTGGCTGTGTGTGCATGCTACTGTACATGTTCACATATCAGATATCACCAGGAGTGATGAGAATATGGGTCATTTGCACTAGATTCTGCAGGTGCTTGTTCACTGTTAATTTCCATGCGGCTGCTAATTTCTGCACTTGATATTTCCACAGTGCTATGTGCAGACAGAGTGGGCCAGATGACGAAGACCTACAATGACATCGATGCTGTCACACGTCTGTTGGAGGAGGTGACATGTCCTAGTTTTGTCTGTTCTATCAGTGTAATTCAAAGGTACACAAGGATAGATTCTAATCAGTCTACATCACAAAGTAATGTAACATAGAGGATGCTTCTCTACAGATTAACCCTTTTTGCTTTTTGCCAATATGCCAGTGGTATTTATAGTTGTAGAATGTTCACTGAAGAGAAGAGCTTAATAAACAGCAACACACACACACACACACACACACACAGCAGGGAGTGAATTCTTTCTAAATTTACCAGTGGCTGAACTTCCATCCCCCACAGGAACCACACACAAATAAATGTGCTTCACTCATGCTGTAATTTGGGATTTTTGGATATTGCATCTGTAACCTTCTGTTCTCTTCTGTTCTCTTCTATTCTCTTTTCTTCTCTTTGTGCTCCAACTAATAGAAAGAGCGAGATTTGGAGTTGGCCGCAAGAATTGGCCAGTCACTTCTTAAGAAGAACCAAACTCTGACTGAACAGAATGACTATCTGGAGATACAAGTGGGACAAATCGCAGAGGAGGTCTGCACACACACACACACACACACACACACACACATCTATTCAGATTAACCAGGCATTAGCTCATAAAATTGTTTGTTCTAATTATTTCAAAGTTATATTACAATTAGATTTTTAAAAAGTCCTGACTCAGGGTACACTAACTAGCTCTTGTATAGCTTTCAGCTGTAGCCCAGAGTCTTCTTTCATGGAGTTTTCTCAACAACATCGAAAATCTCAGCAATTGCATCTTTATGACAGTTGAAAAAACGCCACCTGCTCATGAAGACCATATGATATGGCTGAAAACATGCAGACGAAGTTAGTAAGCGGACCTTGAGCTATAGTAATGTCTTGTATTGTGCTTGACCCTGCTTTGCTTGAAGAGGTTACAATAGAATAATATATGACATTGGAGGTGTGTTTACAGCAGATTCACTCTCCATGCATACACGAACAGAGACATGTAAAAAGTAACCACTGTCTTCCAGGTGGCCCAGCTACACCATGAACTGAACCTGAAGGATGAGCTGCTGCAGTTTTACACTAATGCAGCCGAGGAGAGCGAGGATGAGTCCAGCAGCCCATCAGCGTCAGCATCCTCTCTTTGTTCTTCTACTACCACTCTTTCTATAACACTGATTAAAAGTTGATTTGATCATTTTGAATGATTTGGAGATGCAACTGTTAGATTATTGTAAATTAGCACAAGTAGGGGAGTGCAGATCTTCCAACTATGAGAGTGGAGGTTCATGCTTATTCATATGCTTCCAAAGGGGGAAGAAAAGCAAAGTGGAAGCAGCTTCAGGAGGCTTTGTGAGCAACACACTCCAGAGGAAGCTCAAAGAGCTGGAAGAAGAGAACCTGTCTCTCCGCTCAGAGGTATCCACACACAGTAACAGCAACACACACACGTGATGCATGAAACTGAATTAGCTGGGGACATGCTGTTTAATAATGATGTCTACATGCAGGCTAATCATCTAAAGTCAGAGACTGAAACATATGAAGAAAAAGAGCAGCAGCTTGTCAATGACTGTGTGAAGGAACTCAGTAAGTTTTAACATCATGTTTCCTGTCTTGTCTCCTTTTGTTGTGTTTCATGGTATACCTAAAACTTTGGACACATCTCTCCATCTTTCCTTTTCTCGGGCTGAATTAAATGTTTTCTTTCTGTCCGGTCAGGGTTGTCCAGTCTCCAGATCTCTACCATAGCGGAGGAACTGGCCCGTAAGACTGAGGATGCCTCCCGGCAGCAAGAGGAAATCACACACCTCCTCTCTCAGATAGTGGACTTGCAAAAGAAAGCAAAATCTGTGAGCACACATGTATACATACATGAACTCAGTTTAAATCAAAAGTGACTGTTATGCTCTGGTCATTTTGCTAATTTAAACCTCTGTGTGTCTCTCTAGTATGCGGTGGAGAATGAGGAGCTCTCTCAACACCTGATGGCAGCTAAAGATGCCCAAAGGCAGCTTACAGCAGAAGTAACACCCACAACACTGTCCTTTCTTGACCACACATTTCTAAGCTGTAACTGTATTTGTCTTAGTGTTGACTTTAATTGAAAAAGTTTAATATCTATTACACAACAGCTACAGGAGTTGGAGGAGAAGTACTCGGAGTGTATTGAGATGCTGCATGAGGCTCAGGAGGAGCTGAAGAACCTGAGGAACAGAAACTATCCTGCAGGAGCCCTTCGGCGCTACCATCCCCTGGGACTGTACCCAATGGTGAGGAGTTGTGTGTGTGTGGGTGCATGTAATTGATCACATTCTGTTGCTTCATGCATTTTTGTGTTGCAGGATTCTCTGGCTGCTGAGATTGAGGGAACCATGAGGAAGGAGTTGAGTCTGGACGATCCTGAGTGTGAGGAGCAGAAGTATGGCCTAAGCTGTTATTTTTACACTCAATCTATGACAGACTGTGCAAGTTAAAATCATCAACCAAAAATAATTTTACAAATTAGCCAAAATACACCTTAGTTACCTTCACTGGCCAAGAAGGAATGAAAAAATTGTCATATGTCCAATGAGGTAGGGTGGCTAGTTCAGATATGAAAAGGTGTCACTTAGCCAGATAATCTCTAGTTATTTGGCTCCGTTCATTGAGGTTTTGCTCCAGCTTTAAAGAAATTTGAGTTTTATTCTGCAATAATGACAAAGAAATAAAAGAAAAAGCCACCATAGATTTTTGTCCACTAACTGCTTACAGTGTAGGCTAATACGCTTTTGTCTCATTGTTTGCAGAGTCCATCATAAGCGTGTTTTTGAGACTGTTAAGAATGTCAACGAGACAGTCCGTCAGCGTTCACTGACTCCAACCAACGCCAGCATCCCGGGCTCCAACCAGTCTCTGTCTGCACGGACGTCACCCCAGTCCAGTGGCCTCTCCATTTCTCACTCCAGTGTGTATGGAGGTGACGTCAGCGGAGACAGCGCTGCCCTTGACAACCGAACACAGAGCATACTGATGGAGGCGGCATCCAATCAGGACAGGTGAGGAGTGGGCTAATGCAATAAACAAATCGGAGAGGAAGTTGAGAACAAGGGCACTTTTTATACAGCTGCGTGAAAAAATACAATAGTAGCCTGTACTGTTTGTGTGACATGTGCCTACACTGACCAAATTTCTTCAAGATGCATTAGTTTCTGTCTCCTCCCTGCCCTGGCAGCAGCACAGAGATTTGTGAGAAGAAGTCAAGCGGGGCTGAGGAGCTGCGTCTGGCCCTGCGCCGCCTGTCTCTGCGTCGACAGAACAACCTGAGCGAGAGGCGCTTCTTTGAAGAGGAGAGAGAGCGGAGACAGGGAGGACATGGTGGACTCCATTATGCGCTGGGTCAGGAGAGTGCGTTGACCCCTTCAGAAAGCATCATGTCACTTGGCAACCTCCACCTGTGGGCCTCACGAGGGCCGTATCTTCCCGACAAACTCCAAATTGTCAAACCGCTTGAAGGTGAGAGAAAAGGAGAGCGTGGTGCAAGGCAAGGCTTTAAGGAAGTGGGAAGGCAAAAGGCACAGAGGAGTTGAAACAAAGAAAGGGAGCAAGTGACACACTCTTGACTGGGAAAGGGAGAAAGCATGGAGTGGGCGAGGAAATCCAGAGCTGGGATAGAGAGGGAGAGAGGAAGGAGTTGGGCCAGAGACCGACCCGGGAGCAGAAGGGTGAAGGGAGCAAGACAGCGGAAAGACAGGCCTCTGTCACTCATGCTCTTCAACTCATTTTGGTCTGTGATGCACCATCACAAGTCAAGCAGCTTTGCATCTTCATACAGCTACACACTACAAAGACACACAGTCCAGAGGATGGCTGTAGAAGCACACACATTAATGGGGAATGAAAATTACAGTTACTGCTACTGTTTAGAGTAATGATCATCTACGTGTAATATGTATCTGGTAATAAAGTGAGCACACGGTTATCTGCACTGGGTGTCACAGCTGGTTATTTTGACAGCTGATGGAGAGCATGAGTTCACACTCAGAGAGGGTTGCAACTGATGTATTGTTCCTCTTGTGCTCCAGCATTGACTTAATGCTAAATCACATCACATTTAAGGTATTTAAGGTTGCTTTTGTTTGTCTGTGCTTCCCTCTGCTGGTGATAATCTATACTGTTTGAAAGCAACCTGACCATTGTTATCCTCCCTAACATCTCCATATGTGGAAATTCTGCTGCTGCTTTTGTTTGCATGCATTTGTTTATTAGTAGTTTGAGCTTCTCATTTCTTCTTATTCTTTCTTTATTTACTATTATATATTATTTGTGTGATGTCCTCTGTTTTTTGTGACTTCTCACTGCTTGCTATCTCTGTTTCAAATTCATGTGGCTGACTATTAAAGACCATTTCGCATTCTAACCACTCATTTCATTTCATTATTTTATATAATTTTCATCTTATTCTTCTGCTCTAAACCAACTTTTAGTCTTGGCTTGTCATCCTGATCACTGAGGCTTATTCCATAATATTTCCCTCAACTTGTTTTTGCATGGATATGTTTATCAGTCAGATGCTAGAAGTAGTTATTAGCATTAAATGCACCTGTCATGCAATGGTTTGTCACATAATCTGAAATCTTGTTTTAGTTCATATTAATTACTATATACTTTATTATAGTAGAACAGCTATCACTCTGTTCCTACACCAATATCGCAAAATCAGTTATTTCCTATTTGTTATAGTTCATAAATAACATTTTCTACCTATTAACATGGACCTATTAAGCCTTTTAACTGAAATAACAGGACTCTACCAACTGTTACTCATCTATGATAATAAGTCTTTTCAGGGGCTTTATAAGTCTGGTGAGGATGGGAGAACCAGTTACAGATAAAGTAAATAAAGAACTAGCTATTCCCTCAAGTGATTAAAGATACCAGTAGTAGTCAAGTACAGTGCATATTTATGAATTTGTCTCCATCAGGCTCTGCCACCCTGCACCACTGGCAGCAGTTAGCCCAGCCTCACCTCGGCGTGATTCTAGATGCTAGGCCAGGAGTCGTGCCAAAAGGCTACAGACCCCTGGAACTGGAGCTGGAGCAGGTGTGTGAAATTTCTATGTCCATATCTACATTAAATGGTCATGCTCTATGTTTAGCATATGTTGAACATATTCACACATTAAAATCTGTCTGACAAATCCTATTTTTCCTTTAAATGTTTTGCTATTTCTAATGTTCATTATTTCAGTGGGAAAAGACAGTTATGAATATGTCTGTGCAAATTCTCAGTCATCCAGGTCATAGTATGCTGATGTTGAAGAAATCATCTGGACATAGTTTTAAGTGCTATCTAATTCACACCAGGGCAATAGGCGTCGTTCCACATGTGAGGTTTCAAAGACAGGTAATAACACACCGATATCAGACTAACGACGTAATTGTTATAAGGACATTATTGGCCACCAAAGGACTGGAACCGCAACAAGTCAGTCGTTAGGGACATTGTTGGCCATCAAAGGACTGAAACACCCCCCAGGAAGATAAATACCTCCTGCTCACCACAAGTCGGACAGAATTGATGAAGCCTCTTGGATGAACGATGATCAACTTTCTAGTCATTTCCTCTGACCTTCGGCCATATGTTTTGGACACTCGGGTGAAGAGAGGGGCTGAGCTGTCAACTGATCATCACCTGATAGTGGGTTGGATTTGATGGTGGGGGGCACTCCCACCATTGCCGGCCCAAGCATATAGTGAGGGTCTGTTTGGAATGTCTGGCGAAGGCCTCGGTCAGAGAGGTCTTCAACTCCCACCTCTGACAGAGCTTCAAACAGGTGCTGAGGGAGACTGGGGACATTGAGTCCAAATGGACTATGTTCCACACCTCCGTTGTCAGGGCGGCTGCTGGGAGCTGTGGCCATAAGGTCTCCGGTGCCTGTCGCGGTGGCAAGCCCCAAACACGGTCGTGGACACTGCAAGTAAGGGATGCTGTCAAGCTGAAGAAGGAGCTCTATTGGGCCTGGTTGGCTCAAGGGACTCTTGAAGCAGTTTGCAGGTACCAACAGGCCAAGCAGGATGCAGCTCTGGCAGTCACCATGGTTGTCTAGATATAGTCGGGTTCACTTCCACTCACAGCTGGCTCAGACTTGGGAGGAGTTCGGTGAGGCCATGGAGGAAGACTTTCGGTTGGCTTCAGAGAGATTCTGGAGAACTGTCCGGCGGCTCAGGAGGGGGAAGCGGTGTTCTGCCAACACTGTTTACAGTGGAAGTGGTGTGTTGCTGACCTCAACTAAGGATGTCATCGGCCGGTGGGGTTCTGGATTCATTCTTCTTGACAAAGGGTGGACTTTCCATTATTCTGGCATTGCTCAGAGTGAGAGGCGACGGGCTGGTGTGGGCTTGCTTATAGCCCCCCAGCTCAGTCGTCAGGTGTTGGAGTCCACCCTGGTGGATGAGGGGGTCATTTTTCTGCGCCTTCGGGTCGGCAGGTGTTGGAGTACACCCCGGTGTATGAGAGGGTCATTTCCCTGTGCCTTTGGGTCGGGGAACGGTCTCTCAGTGTCGTTTGTGCTTACACACCTAATGGCAGTGTAAATTGCATGGAGTTCGGGGACAGTGCCACTGGACTGGCAGACCAGGGTGGTGGTCCCCCTTATTAAGAAGGGTGACTGGAGAGTGTGTTCCAACTATAGGGGGATCACGCTTCTTAGCCTCTCTGGGAAAGTCCATGCCAGGGTACTGGAGAGGAGAATCCGGCCGATAGTCGAACCTCGGATTCAGGAGTAACAGTGCGGTTTTCGCCCTGTGGAACACTGATTGTTGCTCCTCCATGTAGAGGTGGCTCAGACACCTGCTTAGGATGCCCCCTGAATGCCTCCTGGGGGGCGGATTCTGGCCATGTCCCTCCAGGAGAAGGCTTCAGGGTAGACCCAGGACACATTGGAGAGACTATGTCTCCCGGCTGGCCAGGGAACACCTTGGGGTTCCTCCTGAGGAGCTAGAGGAGGTGTGTGGGGAGAGGGAAGTCTGGGAGGCTCTGCTTGGACTACTGCCCTCATGACCCAGTCTCGGATAAAGCAGACGAAGATGGATGGATGGATGGATGACTAACAGAAACCTTGTGTGTTTACATGCTTGATTTGACTTATTAATTGCAAAGTAATCCTTACCTTGTTCCTAATAACAGTTAATATAACTTCCTTACTAGTACACTTACACATGCATGCATGTATAGTGGTCTCTATTTTCTCTGTGTCACACTGGGGTGTCTTCAGGTATATCCATGGGGCAGCTTTGAGGAGGATGACCCAGGCGAGCAGTACTTCCAGAATCTGCCCAACTCCTCTACCTCTGCGTCCCCAGCTGTGACCTCCACCTCCAGCACCGGTGACACCAACCTCAGGCTGCCACCACCTAGCCTTGCTCCACCTTCTCCACCATCTCCATCCCCATCGCCACATCTCAGCAACACTGATGCCCTGGGTGAGGACATTCAGTACACTGATAAATACTGTATATACTGTATGTAAACATTTACATTGTTGAACCTGACTGCAACACCTGCAGTGGATCATGTGCTTGGATTGACCACATTGTTGAACCTGACTGCAGTGGATCATGTGCTTGGATTGACTGATTGTCTGTGTGACTTGCAGCTACATACTTCCCAGGTAAATGCATGGCTCACACCAGCTCTACCTACACCTTCACAACCTGTCGGATCCTTCATCCCACTGATGAGCAGACACGTGTCACGCCAAGGTACAGTGAGCCACATGCTGCTTGGAAATTTAAGACTCAAGTAAATGTTTTGTGGCCCCTTCCCTTGAGCTTCTTTTTGATTTCCCAGAATTCATTTGTAATCAACTGTCGCAAGTTTTGCTTTTCTGCTAAATACAGTCATATTCACACATATGTCCTAATAAAAAGTGTGTTTTAACAGTCATGTGTTTGCCTTCAAGGATGCACATTTTCTTGCTCTTGGTGAAAAGGCAACAAAAATTGCACTTTTTTACATTTCATGTTAACACTAAAAGTTAACATAGACATAAATATAGTTAAAATATATAATGTAGCTTAATGTGATAATGTTTAGATCTCCTACAGTGTGTTAACTCTGCTTTCAATGTCCATTTGACTAACTCCCACAGGACAAACAAGATTCTAAAAGCAGTCGTTGAGGTGGTATCATTGTCTTGGCAACATTATTCAGTCAGCTGTCTGCTAGACAGTGGGAAGGTGCTAAATAATACATGGACAGTAGGTGCTTATGGGCTGAAGAAGCAACATCACCTGTGCACAACAAATGAAAATTCTGTGTTATTGCGATGAGATCACAAAAGTATTGTGTGTTGTTGAAATCAGCAAGAAGCATTGTTTTTTCAGGGTTTCTAATTGTTTTCTTTTGTTGTCACTCCTTCCAGTCTAAATCCATTCCCAGCATCGTCCTCCTGTGTGATGACCAGTCTGTTGGGTACTCCTGCTGTGACACCCTGCACGCCACGCAGGCTCAGTCTCAGGCCCTCTGAGTCCTCAACTAACCTCAGGCAAGGCTCCAGATAAACCAGAAAAGTACTGTACTTCATTTTCAGTTATCTAAAAATATGTTTTCTTCTTGCTACTGTTGGAAACAGTTTTGTTCTCTTTGTTAAAGAATAAGCAGATTGTTTCTTACAGAAATTACAAGAGCAATCCAGTGTCATGAATTAATGTCTTACTTTTCTCAGAGCAGACATTTAAGTTAACTTGATTCTGTTAGAGTGTCATTCCCAAAATGAGTAGCAACATGTCTGTGTAGATTCTCAGTCATCCAGGTCATAGTAAGCTGGAAAAAAAACTTAGAAAAAGTCAACTGGACTAGATTTCTAGGTCGAAGGCGATTCACCTCTCATCCAAGAAGCTTCATCAGTTCTGACTGACTGGTGTTGAGCTGGAGATATTTATCCCCCTCGGTGGTGTTTCAGTCCTTTGAAGGCCAACAATGTCTATTGCCTATTGTCCTGGTGTGCATGTTTGGGCAGAGATCTCAAAACAGAGTTGTAGATGGATGACAAGTTGTGTCTTAGTTCACCACCCCTATTTAGTGAGGGGTGTTCTATTTTTACAAAAATAGCTTCCTTAACTCCTCTCTCAAACCAGCGATGTTCTCTGGAGAGGATCTGGACTTCACTGTCCTCAAAAGAATGTCCTTTGTCCTTCAGGTGGAGGTGGACTGCTGACTCTGGTCCATTGGAGTTGGCCCTCCTGTGTTGGGTCATGCGTTTGTGAAGCAGCTGCTTACTTTCACCAATGTACAAGTCGTTACCCTCCTGACTACACTTAATTGCATAGCCAACATCACTCTGTTTATGTCTGGGTGTTTTGTCCTTTGGGTGGACCAGTCTCTTGATTCTTTTAGTTAACCTGTTTCAGATTCTATGGTTTAAACACTGCAAAAGAAACAAGATTGTGCAACTACTATCAACTTTTTGACTCATGACTTTTTTTCCATGAAGTCTATCTTGAGGGGTTACAGGCCAGCATAACTTTTATGTCTCACATCTCTGCAGAGATGCAACACGCACCACCAGCACCTCCCTGGGGTTAGTACGCCTTCTCCAGGAGAGAGGAATATCAGCAGCAGTATATCACCAGAGTCAGAGCCTGGAGCACAGTCAGGGCAGTGGAGAAGTCCTATTCAGCACCTCCATCACCCCTAACCGAGTGTCCAACCCTGAATCTCTGCGTCCCTCTACCCCTCCGAACTCGCCCACTGGAAAGGGAGTCTCTGCTGTGCCAAACTCTGCAAACTTTGACTTTAAGAGCCCCTCATACGACAACTTCTTAGCCTCCAAACCGGCCCGTTCTATTTTGAAGGAGGTGACGGGGGGGATGAGAGGCAGGCAGAGAGGGAGGGACTGCGAAAGCCAAACAGACGTTAGCGTAACCGTCCACAACCTCAACCTGCTGGACAAGGTGAAGCGGCTAGGTGTGGCTGGAGCTCCGGGGGGCAGAGCAATCAGCCCTGGCCCCATGCTGGGTCCTCTGGGTGGCCTGCGCAGATCTGGCTCCCCTTTTGGGCCCGATGGAATAAGGAGGAATCGCAGTTATCCAGCTGTGGTTGGGGCAAGCATGGCCATGAAAGCTCCAGGACCCAAGCAATAGCCTGGACTGCTGCAATTAGGATGTCCAAGTAGGAGGCAGGTAGGGCTGAGGTCTGGCTGTTGAGCAGTCACCTAAAGCCCAGACACTGACTGACACTATTCATAGTGTATGGCAGCAACATGGCACAGCTGATCAGTTTCTAATCACTACTTTGGTTCCATACTGAACTTAATAGTGCTTTTAGGTGGCAAATCATGCTTGATGTAAAGGCAAAATAACTTTGAGGAACTGTTCACCCATAATGCAAAAAACATATTTTAGATTTAGTTTTATGTGCCTACATTTTATGATATCTCTGAGATATCTCACTGTTTTCTACAGCACTTCAGTGCAGTCAGGGTGAATAGGATTGTACAAAATACTGAATTACATTTACTGTTGGATAATTCTCAGACACTGAGAACAGTTCTCATTCTTTGGCTTTGTCCAAACTTCACACCAACACCTCTAACACCTTGTATCTTGTTTAATCCATACACTAAAAAGAAATGCAGGCAGTTACATGGTGTAGGTACAGTACATGTATTTCTTGATGAGCAACAGTTTTTCTTCCAGGGAGTCAATAAGGATTTTTCCACCAAGGGAGTTTTACAAGCTGTAACCTGGAGCTTCCCATACTCGTAATTAGGTGGAACTTGAAAGGCTGATCTGGTCTGTTCCGCTTTGCTTTTCCATTGCATTTTTCCCTGTAAGACTCACTGTTTACATGAGGGTAGGGCTGAGCTCCTCATACACATAGCTGAGCAAAGGAACTTAATTTAGTACTACCTCCTAAGGGGTGCCAAAATTTAGTTCCTGGAACTCATCTCCAAAGTGTGCAAAGGACAGTGGAAACAAAAGAGGAACCCGGGGCAAGGGGTACAAGTTACATTATGGGTCAGTAGGTTCCTATAATGGAAATGGCCTAACTGTGTAGAGCAGTTGTTCACCCAGTAATGGTCACAGCAACTCCCTATGAAGCCACAAACTTGTAATTTTTACTGTACATTTCTGTGTGTATGGGCTAAGCACATTATAAACAACATGTTAGTGAGCTTTAGAGATGGTGTTTGATCTTGGGAGAGAACCGGGCTAGTTCTTTTCCCCTGCTTCCAGTCTTCATGCTGGAGGCTAACTGCCTCCTGATTCTAGCTCTAAACTAATTGCACAGACAATCCTCTCAATTGACTCTTAAAATATTTCCAAAAATGTAAAACCACTATTTATATAGTCTTAATAAAAAACTGTCATGTTGGTACTGCTTTTGGAAAGATATACTGCAGATGGGTGACAAATGAACGGTAAAAGCAACATCAGCTTTCTCAGTGAGTTGCTGGGCCATTATATGCCACCAGAACAGCATCAGTGCACCTCAGCATTGATTCTACAAATCCCTGGACTGTACTGGAGGGATGAACACCATGTATCCAACAACAGATATTCCCTGGTTTAGTGTTTTGATGATGGTAATGGAGATGTTGTCTAACACATTGGTCCAAAACCTCCCATAGGTGTTCAACTGGATTGAGATCTGGTGACTGTGACGGTCACAGCATATGATTCACACCATTTTCATACTCATCAAACCACTCAGTGACCTTTAATTTGTCACCTGTCTGTTGCTATTGATCTTTTTCCAAATAGAAATTAGAAATGCTTTGAGCTCCACTAATATTTCCACAAAGATATCATAAACTCTAGGCACATTACAGCAGTTTTATGTAATTTCATTGTATATAACTGGGTGAACTGACCTGTTAAAGTACATCTGAGATATTTATCTGGTAAACACTCAGAAACTTTGCAGTTAAAGCTGCAAATATCTCCCACTTGTATTCACTTGCATCCCTGCTTTGGAGACTGACTCTGCTGGTTAGATGTAGTACTCCCACTCTTTCATTTTTTGAAACACATTCACATCATCCCACACACATCCAGACATACACAGGTGCACTCTGCTAAATCTGCCATGGCACTAGCTGGCTAATTGTAGTCACTGTAGCATTAAACCATAAAACTCTTCAGTATTACTGGAATAAGATCCACATCTAAAAGATTTATACTAGATAAATAAAAAACCTTTCCTCATTAGGTGTGAGTCTTTCTACAAATCAATGAATAGATCTTATGTCAGTATTAAACATACTTTTGTTTAATTTCCTAACTGGCCATTTGACAGGGAACCTGCTGATACTTCTAGTGAACTGGACAGATCAATAAGCTGAAGCCAAGAGGACAGAAATAAGGGAACTGTTTGTGGTTTTGGTGGTGAATTGAAGCAAGATTGTGCCTCGATAATCTGTTTTTATGGTTTCATGTAATTCATGTAAGGGTGTGAAGTAGCTGTCACAGCCCTAGTTACACTTATTTTATTTTTTTTTAAAGTTGGCACACACTGTACTGTATATATTGTTCACTGTCACTGAAATGTCAGTAATGACACCCTTGTGTAGTGCATAACCAAGAACCACACATCACTGTAAGTACTGGGGTGCGCACGTAATTGGGGGTGGGGGTTTATAAATAAAAAGTTGTCAAACAAAAAATGTAATCCTCTACACTATGTGTTTTCACCTGTACTGTACATGAAATTGTGAATAATTCAAAACTGGGCAAAAATCCTAAAAACATGAAATTATTATTTCCTCTCCTCCAGCAGATGGTGCTCACAAATAACTTGGCACAGCAAATAGTCAGTATTGCATCTATCTGTCTGTCCACTTTGGCAGAGTCATAATCTATTACCCATTCACCATCTGTGTCACTTGTACTATGTAGAATATGATGAGGGCTGCTATTAAACCTCTATTAGCCACAGGATGAATGAGAGATGAGCAATAACCTAAAAAATGCCACTCTGGGAACCAGGGAGTCTAATTTCAAAGAAATGAGATCTAACTCTGTTTCATATGTCACTGACATCTTTTATGTTGGATATTTGTCCTCTTAGAATAACTTTTTGATAACTATTTATTGCAAGATCAACTCAAACACCCCCTGATCTGACATAGGAAAACACCCTCACACTTGTGAGCACAGAAATGACACAGTGTGCTGGTGATGCACTCCCACCATCATCAATACTACCCATAATATCCCAATGATATTTAATAGTGTTATATAAATATGTTACTTAAAAGCTGAATTTTTTAAGAGTTTTGTTCATACAAGACATTGTGGTCCCTACTCACTTTGTTGCTCCCCTAATTTTCCTGACACCATCATGAGATTTAGTTGTGGTTTAGAGTGAAATGTCTTCTAAGTAAATTATTTGAAATTTATTTATAAACTTACAAATTTATGTTGGATGAATGCTGAGCTTGAAAATTCATTCCTTGATCTAGACTGTGTAAAATCATGGTTGAACTAAATAAAACCAAGAATATCACACTTGATTTTAAGATGGTGTCCTTTTGTCTGGGCTCTTTAGGGCACTATTCACTCAGTGGTGTTCAAAAACAGAGACATCATTTTACTCTATATGAAAGAATCGCCTTGTTTCTGGCCATTATCAGCTGACGAAGATTAGCGTCATATAGCCACCTCATGTGCTGCCTGCACTCCATCTGAACTAGGGATGGGCTAATCGATACTCTGGTATTGATACTTCGATACACACATGTCAGAGTCGAAGGCTTACTGCTCAGCCTCAGTCAGTCACTGCCTCAATCTGCTGCTCAGAGCACGGATGGCCGAGAGAGAAACGGAGGCGTAGTGTGGTGTTATTTTTCACCCACGACAAAAGGTAATACCATGTGCTTCATTTGCAGTAAAGTGGTGCCACATAGCAGCAACACTAGCGACCTTTTTAAGTATTTAAAGACAATGCACCCTGACACTTTTAAGAGGCTGAACTTCACCATGAAGACAACCAACAAGCCTCAAAGTCCCCCGCACCACCTGCTGTCCATCAGAAGACATTGCAGGATAGTTTCATGAAAGGCAAAGAGTATCCAGGTACAGGTGACAGTTGATGTGTTGTAAGTGATTTAAAAATTGAACAAGCCATTATTTTATTAAACTACGCCAAATATGAAAGTGAGCTACGCGAATCATGGATGAAGCCATGTTCACCACTCTTTCATTTAGTTGACAAACGTAAAGGTTCATATGCTTGTACTGTATGTATCAGAAAATACTGACAAACAGTTTTGTTTGTAGAATGTTATTAATAGAAGTAATTTTCTTTAAAGGGGCAAAAAGTATTGGTATCGGTATTGGTATTGATGGCAAAAGTATCTATCTGAAAGTTCAACAAGTCGACGGGTCAGAGGAACACACAACTCTTGTTAGTTATTAGACCTACACTTCAAAAGTGTTAAAGCACCATCTTTTAAAGGGTTTAATAGGGAGTTAAGTATTTAATGTGAGGGAAATAGGAGCATGGTCACTGATTATGATTGAATCAATTGTGGTATCTGTTATTTTTGGTTAGTGAATTACTTATGAGAAAGGTTGATTCACGATAAAAACTGGGAGGGAGGACAAATATGTATATTCGCTAGATGAAGGATTTTTCATTCTCCGACTGTAATAATTCATGTAGTGTTCTATAACTTCTGTAGAATGCCAGTTTCTTGTATTGCTGGAGGAGATTGAGCGACCATTTTTTGGGTTTTTATCAGTATTGTAAGTCTCCAGCAATAATAATGTTTATAAAGTCATGCAGCAAAGAGAAAAAGTTATGGAAAAAAGATGGGTCATCATTATCAGGGCCGTAGATGTTGGCAAGTGTATATGCCGTCTGGTTAACCAAAACATTAACAATGATAAATCTACCTTCTGGGTCAGTGATGGATGGGTTATGGACCAATGAAATGTTTTTATTAATTAGAACTGAAACACCTTGCTGCCTGCTATTGTATGGTAATGAGAATATTTTATAAAATTGTTTAAATGTGAGGTTTTGTAATTCAGGATTTGTTAACTGAGCTTCTTGTAAGAAGTATATACAGTAGCTGTCTATAATTTTGTCACATGGTTATTGATTTTAATCCTCTTAGCCTGGGTCTGGAAGCGTCGCACATTCCATGACACTAATTTAAGTTACTGTTTGTTAAATATGTCTGATTTGGTGAGGTAAAGAAATGTCTTTTTGAATATGAAATTAACATACAGTATATTATTAAGAGGGAGATAAAGAAGGGAGGAGGGGACAAAAAAGAATAAATGATAATGTAGAGTTGTTGTGTGTCTGAATGTATGTGTGTAAATGTGGCTATGTTAGTTAGTTAGTTCTGACTGAAAATAAAACATGGTGTCAAATGAAAAACATGAAGCAAGGTTGAAGACAAAAAAAGACAAATACACATGGTAAAACAGAAAAGATAATAAGGGAGTGTCCAGGCCAGGAATGTTTGTAGGAGACTGTGTAAGGTATTTGTATGTGTGTGCATTTAAATGGTGAGAATGATGGTTGGGTATCATTTAATATATGATGCAACAGTCACTGTTTATTACATGTAATATGGGAGATCAGAAGAGCCATGGAGTTACATTAGAGTCTTGGTACAGCTATCCTTCAATGTATAATTTGTCCATAATGATGGTTACTCATCTATTGTTCTGTGTTGTTTCATAATGGGCTAGAGAATTTTGTACCGTTTGTTTATTTGACATGGGAATTGGTCATTGAGTCCATAATGTGTGCCTTTCAGTTCTTTTACTTTGCTTTTAATTCTTCTTCTTTATGTTTGTAATGTTCTAGTTTGGCTATTACACACTGAGTGTTTTGTTTGAATGTGATCCAAGACAGTGTATACAGTGGAAGGTGATCTTATTGACTGTGTCTGGTGGGAAGGTCAAGTTACAGTAGTTTAGACATTAATCTCTAATCTGTCATAATGTTCCTCTGCCTGCTACAGGTGTGTGACATGAGACACTGCAACAAGCAGTGTTGGTCGTGATATGGCTGCATGGCAGGGCTGAACTTCACAAGTTTGTGCATGAGAAAAAACTGCCCTCCTATAAAGAAGACATCAGATTGAACATGTCACATGTAAAACAGCCCACCTGTAATTTGCTTTAAATGTTAGGTCCAACGGAGTAATTGAAGCACTATTTTGTGCTCTCCAGGTGTAACAACAGATGATAATGTAGAATTGGTGTCATGTAGAGTTAGTGTCTATCACCTATTTTGCAACAGATGATAGAAAACATCTTTCTTGTCACTTGAGTTGCTAGTTTTACTGTTCTTGGCATTTTCTGTGACCAGTCTTAAACAGACAAATGGGGTTATACGTGTAAGCATAGTGGCTCCTGCCCATTGCCGCAGGCCTGTCTACTTATACATCTCATTGGTACCACGTGCCTACAGGAGAAAAGATTTCTATGAGAGCTATCTCCTTTAGAAACTTTGCATCATAGTCTTGACTAAATGGGTTAGGCTCTGGGCCTGGACAACTCAGGGAGAAGATATGAGGGTTTCTCCGTTGTTGTCAGGGAAATCACAACACCAAAATAAATTTAGTTATCATCATATGAGGCATGGCTATATTATTTGACAAATTAGAAAAAACTACATTGTACTTTCTGATTGAAAAGTTGCAATGTACCACAAGTTGTGTCCTGTTCGTATTAGATGCATTCATTTGGAATGCATTGACACAGAAGTTGTCATGTAGCTGGGAAGAAGATGGAAACCATGCTGTACCAAACCCTCACTGATGATGATGCCTCTTCATCATGAGTTGTTGATCTCTTCAGAGATGTCAGGTATCCACTTCTGTCCACTTCATTACATCTTTACTTTCTTTGTACTTGGGATTGAGTGACCCTTTTGTTTTGACTCAGATGCCCAACCTTAGGAAACTGAAGTTAGAGAAAACAACCAAAGGGGACCATAACTGATCCATCAGAAATAAGGAGGCTGTCCTGAGAACTGAGACCAACTTGCTGTGATCTTGAAGGGGCTGTAGCACCTGAGGGAAGATCAGTCAGCTTTACCTGCATCCACCACCACCTTGGATTAGATTACTGCAGGAACTGAACTGTAACCTTTCCTCTGGAGCAGAATTTTTAAAAAAGTTATACAAGTGTTTCTTGACTCTAGTTGAAGAATTTGAATTTTGGAACTTAACTACAAAATTACACAAGGGCTCGGTTTTTCCATCATTAAATGGTGGAAGTATCTGGGTGGGCTTAATGGTTTCGGTGATTCCAAACACTGTTAGGGTGCGCTCGAACACAGAGTGAGCGAGCAGATAAAAAGCGGACCCAGGTGGCTGGCTTCGGTGCAAGCAGTGAGGTTTATTTACAGTGAAGGTAGTGACATATATACAGGAGGAGTAATGAGGTAGATGACCGGGTTTCGATCAGCAGCAGCAGAAAAACAGTCAGTGGTATGGTGGATGATGATGTACCGGGCTGCGGACGCAGAGGTCACTCCTGGGCTGGTCGAGGTGGAGGTGATGATGGCTGTAGACAGAAGAGCAGGGATAAACTGGGTAAGGGAGACTGTGCATCGACCTGGGAGGCGGTGGCTGGTGGTGTAGATTAA